GGTGGGCAGTGGGCATGTGGTGCTGGTGGTTGTTGAGGAAGTACCCAAGACAGAGGGCAGAGCCTCAGCAAAGCTCTAGTTATCCCTGCTCTGTGGGAATGTGGACCCAGGGATTTGAGAAATCACTCGTTTTTATCTGTTGGCAACCAAAGCAGACAAATAAAACAGCTGTGATTTAGAGTGTACTGGCACTGGGTCCTTTCTGTCCCAGCTCTGGGATCATCTTGCCATCCCTGGTGTTGCCTGCCAAGAACGATGTTTAATCACCAGGCAGATTCTGCGAGTTCACGTCCGTGGCGATGAGGCTCTGTAAGAATCAAATGAGATGATTTAATTTTACTTTTAAGCCAAATTGAATTTAAAACAACATTTGTGTACGGGTTAATTATTTGAGTTTAATTTGCAAAATAAATAAGAGTTCCGGGTTCCCCCAGGTCCTTTCCCTCTGCCCCATACTGGACCATGTACCTATTTCCACACGTGACTGATGATTTGCACATTGAATCTCTGTTGGATTGTTCATCTCTCCGATGAGACTATGAACTGATCTCTGGTGCATTCTGGGACTGACCCATATTAGAGAAATCTTTACCAACTGAGGAGCGAGCAGGGGACTGTGGCACCTGCTGGGGGTAGGTGGGGACCAAGTCGCGTACTGGGGAAGTGTGCATTACCGTGCTGGGAAGAAAATGAGGCAGGACCTCTACAGGGGATTGTGAGTGGTTATGGAAAACTTGGGCTGGACTCGAAAGTGTCCTGAAAGGAGATGCTCCTGCAGGCAGCTGTCCCCCAGAGCATTTGAGACCTGTGTAGAGACTGCTGGGAGGGCACAGAGGCTGGCCACTCCTACCAGGAAGTACTTTGTCTGTGGCCAACCTTGGGCGCCTGTGGCAGAGGAACAGACATGATATGTTAGTGTAGAGAAGGAAAGAGGGGTAGGGGGATGTTCCTAGTGGCACCGCCTGGAGAGGCAGGGCGTGGGGCCCAGACTTATGCCTGGGCACCTCTGAGTGTCGGGGCCCCCTTGGCAGGTGAGCCTGCCCTCGGCGGACCGTAGCCTGCCTGGGCTGCTTGCTGGCCATGGGTCTCGGGCGGCCACCTCTTTGTGCTAGTTTCCTCCCGGCGCCTGTCCGAACGGGGCTGTTGAGAACGTGAAATGAGGTTGGGTGTGTGGGTGCTGAGCGCGCTGCTGGCATGGGGCGCGTCCCAGAAGTGCTACTGCTCATCCCAGCAGGAATGTTGGGGCAGGAAGAGATGGAGCAGGGTGCTAAATATGCATAAGGAAATAGCAAGAACATCAGAGAAGGGGAGGTGAGTGTGGCAGGACTGGGGGACAGAGAGGAGCTTTCCCAGTTGCTCAATGGGATGGAAAAGAGTCTTTGGAAGGTGGGGTGGGGCAGGAGTTCCCTCAGACTTCTGGTGCCTTCCATCCCCAGCCCGCCCTGCCCTGCGCGGCACAGGCCTTGCCCCGCGCTCTGGCCTTGGCCCACGAGCGGCGTCGTCCCCTTTCTCTTTCCAGACAGCCGGTTTCTGATGCCCCTGGTCTGCATCGGCCTCCTGGCTCTGACCCCCCTGTGGCTGCTCGTCGCCAAGCAGAGCCCGCCTGTCGTGAAGATCCTGAAGTTCGGCTGGGTCCCCATCGTCCTCGCGATGGTCGTCAGCAGGTGCGCTGGGCCACGGCCACCCCCTCCGCCTCCTCCCTGGGAGCCACGAAGCCCTGAGCACGGGTGACGCTCGGGGCCTCGGGGTCTGGGGCAGAGTGAGGTGTAGCCGTGGGCTCCGTAGGAACCCCAGGACTGGCTGGGTCAGACCTTTCCACTTTCCTCTTTCTTTCACCACGAACCCCGGGCCTCATTCATCCTCAGAGAGGGCACCTTGTCCGCACTTGCCAGAGCAGCAGGGGGACAGGAGGCGGCGGCGCTGGGAAGGTCAGGTGAAGGTCCTGCCTCCCCTTCGCGGTGGTGCCACGGGACCCCGCTCTCCGTCCGCAGCTGCCAGAGCTCTGCCGGCCCGACCTTGTTGAGGCCGTGACTGTGTCATCCGCTGGTGTGCCAGGTCACTCTGCACAGCACAGCTGCCGTGGGGTCTGTCCCCTCGACCTCAGGCCCTTCCGCTGAGCCCAGGCCCTCCACCCTCCAGCCCTGTTCTCGGGGCCCCTCTCCTGCTAGTGCACTGTGACTCCCCACTCCATTCTCCTGCGTCCCCCTAGCTTCGACTCTCAGGGAGGAGAGGTAGCGTGGCCGTCTTTGCCTCCGGAAGGCGCCTGGCTCCTTGTACGACTCAACCCAGCTTCTCCAGGGCTCCAAGAAGTCCCCAGGGCGGGAGAGCCTTTGCTGAAGCCCAGCGGCCCACGGCGCACGGGCAGCATTTTCCGGCTCCGTTTCACCGAACAGCATCTTAGTGCAGTTCGGGAGGCGTCGCAGGACAGGGCCCAGCCGGCCACACGGCCTCAGAAAGGCGGGCACTCATGTGTTTCATAATGGGCTGACATTCTCAGATGGCTTCTGGAGCAGCCGAGACCCAGATCAGAGGTGGGGATGGGGAAGCTCGAGTCGGGTGCAGAGGACACGGGGGTGCCAGGCCGGCTGTGGCGGGTACCGCCTGTCTGCCGAGACCGGGGATGCTGGCTGATGGGGGCCCCGCGAGTGAACCCCTGGTCACTGGGCTGCGTCTGCTTTCTCCCCAGTTTTGGAGGGCTCATCTTGAGCAAAACCATTTCTAAACAGCAGTACAAAGGCATGGCCATATTTGCTCCCATCATATGTGGTAAGTATTTGAG